CGGGAGCAGAGTGCACCGAGTGCCACGCGTGACTTGAACCCATCTGGTCACTGCGCCCTTTAGAGGCGAATCAGACCGGAAACCCATTTCAACGCTTCGTTTTCGGAGTTCGCAGCGCTGCAGCAAGACCCGCTGGCACACTTCTGCAGAGTCGTTCGTTCGTTCGTTCGTTCGTTCTCCTCCTCCTCCTGCTCCTCCCCCTCCTCCTCCTTCACCTCCTCCTCCTCCGTATCCTCCTCCTCCTCCGCTTCCTCCTCCTCCTTGTTGCCATCCTTCTCGCTATCCCCCTTCTCCTCCACCTCCTCCTCCTCGTCCTGTTCCTGCTCCTCGTCCTCCTCTTCCTCCTCCTTCTCCTCCTCTTCCTCCTCAATTCTTTCTCCTTATAGATAATTCACCCATGTCGAACCCCGAGGCAAGTGTTTCGGGCGGGACGGGCGCTTCGCCTGAGACTTCCTCGCCACTCATGACTCTGAAGCTAAAAAGTGGCAACAGGCTCACAGACGGGGCGGGTCGCCTTCAAAATGTGGTTCTCGCCCTAGCGACGCGCACGTTCGCATTGAACAACTGCAAGAGTTGTACTGATTGAGGGCGGGTGGTTTTCAAAATGTGGTTGTCGCCTTAGCGCCGCGCACATTCGTTTAAACAATTTGCAATATATTCACGAATTGAGGGCGGGTGGTGTTCAAAATGTGGCTGTCGTTTTAGCGCCGCGCGCATTCGTTTTATAAAATTGCAAGAGGTTCACGGATTGAGGGCGGGTGGTTTTCAAAATGTGGCTCTCGCCTCAGCGCCGCACACATTCGCTCTATAAAATTGGAAAGGCTTCACGGATTTGGGGCGGTTCCTTTTCAAAATGCGGCTCTCGCCTTAGCACCGCGTACACTCGCTTTAAACATTTGCAGGGGTTTCGCGGGCTCCCATGATCAGCGTACCAGACATGGTGTTTTGGACGGATTCGGGATTACGCGGGCGACACGGTTGTGTTGATTCGTTGTGTCGAAGTCCCAAACATGACGTCCTGGCACGATTCTGGATCGTCAAGACGCAGCAGTCAGGTGTTGATGCGTGGCGTTGAAATCCCGAGAATGTTTTGGCACGCGTCAGGATCTTCGAAATGTTGCCCTCCAACGAGGCATTTCCCTCAATGGAAATGAACCGTTGTAGGGTTTTATGAAGACGGAACGTGGAGGGAGGGTGAATTCCAACATCGTTGGTGACTCTTGGGTTTCCACTGGTCCTCCTCCTCCTTTTGCTCATCCTGCTCCTCCTGCTGCTCTTCCTCCTCCTCCTCCTCCGCCTCCTCCTGTCCCTAGCCTACTAATGTGTCCCTCTTCCTCTCCTCCTCCGCCCCTCCTCATCTTCCTCCTCACTCCCCCCCCCCCACACTTCCCCCTTGCCTACTAATCCTCCTGCTTACCATCTTCAGCACCTCCTCCTCTTCCCCCTCCGTCATTGGCGTCCTCCTCGACCTATCAGTATCACAGTCCTCCCATACGTTTGTCTCTGACCATACCATGTCCCGATGATTAGCCGTGAAAAATAAGGTATTGTGCTTCACAGTCGTGGGGCGCTCTGCTTTTTTATGTTTCTGCTTCACAGTCGGGCGCTTTGTATTACTATGTTGAATGTCGTGGCTCCGTACTTTGGCAGGCTGCTTGACGTAACTTGGTATTGCACGCATTTGGCGTGTCGCTCTGCCTGTCCTTGCCCACGCGCTTTTGGCGTATGGCTGCTTCTTTCGTTCGTAGAAGTTGCCTTCGGTGCACGCCTCACTTGGCGTTGGCCAGGTAGAAAGGTGGACATGCAACTTCGATAGACGTAAAGCGGAGGCGACAGAGAGCGTAGCAGCATCATCATCAGCAGCATCAGCAGCAGCAATAGCGGCAGTAGTAACATCACCACCATCGTCACCATCACCACCAGCATCATCATCAGCAGCAGCATCATCATCAGCGTCAGCATGATCATGATGATCATCAGTATCAGCATCATCGACATCATCATCAGCATCGTCATCATCATCATCAGCATCATCGCCATCATCAGCAGCATCGTCATCAGCATCATCCTCATTATCATCATCAGCAGCATCAGCAGCATCATAATCGTCATCGTCATCGTCATCGACATCATCAGCACCATCATCACCATCACCTGCATCAGCATCATCACCAGCATGAGCATCAGAATCGTCATCATCATCGTATGTGTCGCCACCGCGACAATATTCCTGCCATCCTTTGCTGCCGACGTCCTCATCACCCGCAGCAGCAGCACCGACCCACGGCTGCTGTTGTTTGCTGTGGCGTGCCAGCGCCCTTGGCAAAGTTCCCGCTCACGGGGCCCTGAGCACAACCGTGTTCAGAGATTGCCCGTCGCTCGTCGAACGTAGGTATTCTTGGACTCCCAGACTCCACTCTACTTTGAGCGCCTTCCTACTTCGATGATCGAGTGGCTTCACCTTTCCCGTCCTCATTAAGGGGGGTGGAGGGAACCCAATCTACTTTCAACGCTTGCCTACTTCATGGTTCTACCTATTCTTCCGACCGACGTGTACACGCTGCGCACGCGACGCCCGAACCCAGACATCCGGTGTCTCGATTTCTTCGAGGCAAGGCCCCCCGACCTCTCGGTCACTTCCCCGGGACCATTGTCTCGTCCCGAACCGTCGTTTTGGACGGCCCCGCGAGGCCCCGTGTAAGGGGCCCCGAGAGGCCGAGAGCTATGGAATGACGAACCAGCAACACACACACCCATACCCATAGGGGGGGTGGAGAGGGCTATGTGTGCGCGTTGTCGGAGGGGGTCCCCGCTCGAACCGGAGCGTTCCCCAGGGTCCGACAGCCCGCACCCATACCCATAGCCAGTCCTCCTCTCAACGACCCCCCATATGGGTATGGGCGTGTGTTGCCCGTTCGTCAATGGAAAGCCTCCGTCTCGATTTTGTCGAGACGCCCGGGTGTCTGGGAGTTTGGGCGCCCCGTCTACACGGTGAAAGGCCAGGGGGGCCAATCGCGGCAGGGATGTGGCGGCGATTGCTTCGAAGCGTACGGCGGAGAAGGGCGGGGGGCGAAGCGAGGGCGAGGCGCCTGACCCCCCGCAAGGGGGAGGGGGATGATGGCCACGCACAGATGACAGCAGGGGAAGAAGCCCTGCAGGATCCGCCGCAACGAAAACTTAGCCTGGCGAAGGACCCAACCATATGCAGTTGTGAGCACCGTCGTTGTATGCACCGCATTCGGAGGAGCTCCCTACAGGGCCACGAAACGTGTGAGGGGTGTGCCAAAATTTGTCCGGTGGGCGCATGCGAAAGCAGCCATTGGGGCCGTCGGTGGAACTTCGTATGGGGCCACGAAACGCGTGAGAGGTGTGCCGAAATAGGTGCGGTGGACGCATGCGAACGCAGCCGCTGGGGCCGTCGGTGGAGCTCCCTATGGGGCCGCGAAACGTGTGATGGGTGTGCCGAAATGGGTGCGGTGGGCGCATGCGAACGCAGCCACTGGCGCCTTCGGTGGAGCTCCCTATGGGGGCACGAAACGCGTGAGGGGTGTGCCAGAATGGGCGTGGGTGACGAATGCGGGCGGTGGCACTAGGGCCTTCGTTGGAGCTGCATGCGGGCGGTGGCACTGGCGCCTTCTGTGGAGCTCTGGGCCACGAAATGCGTAAGGGGTGTGCCGAAATCGGTGTGGGGGGCGCATGCGGGCGGTCCCCCCGGGGGCTTCGGTGGAGCTCCTTATGGGGCCACGAAACGTGTGAAGGGTGTGCCAAACTGGGTTTGGGAGACGCATGCGGGCGGTCCCTCGGGGCTTCGGTGAAGCTCCCTATGGGGCCACGAAACGTGTAAGGGATGTGCCCAAATAGGTCTCGGGGGCGCATGCGGGCGGTCCCCCTGGGGGCTTCGGTGGAGCTCCCCATAGGGCCAAGAAACGTGTGAGGGGTGTGCCAAATTGGGTTTGGGGGACGCATGCGGGCGGTAGCACTGGGACCTTCTGTGGAGCTCCCGATGGGGCCACGAAGCGCTGTACTGGGTGGGTGAAACGCAGGGAGGAGGGGGAGGAGAGAGGAGGGGGAGGAGGAGGGAGGAGGGAAGGAGGAGGAGGAACGCGGGGACCGTCTCTTCAAAACGAGGACCCAACACCACAGGATGGTTGCGAAAAACAGGCAACATCGCAATCATCACGACAGGAGTCCGAGGCGGGGACTTATACATAACCACCGCCTGGAGGATCGCTTTCCGGAGACGGCGGGCGGTGGATATGGCTATATGTTTTGGCCCCTGGGGGCCCGAATGTACCTATATCCATCGCCCGCGGGGTGCCCAGGGCGTCGGCTCCCAGGCTGTGGATAGGGAGAAGCCCCCGCCTCGCAAGGGGCCCTGGACCCCATCTTCCTGCGCCGTTCTCCAAGCCGGATCGATCTGGGATGGCCCCGGGGCCCGAGGAGCCAGGACTTCGGAGAGAAGGGGATCCACTCGCGCCTGGTGGCTGGCGCGCCTCGGAGAGGCTCGCACGCGCGAGTCCGCAGTGCGGCTGCGCATTGCGGCACCCTGCAGGACCAGTGCCAGCAGCAGCAGCAGCGCGAAGAGCGCCGGGAGGTCCCGCGTCGGCGCCATCGAGCTCAGCACCGGGCGCTCGATCCGCGGCGGGGACCCCGAAGAGAAGGCCGGCTCCAAGCGGCGGTCGCTGTCTCGAGAGGGGCAGGATCGGCTGCACGTAAGAGTGACCCTTCGCAGGAGTGACCTTTGGTGAGGGCCCAGGGCGGTCCCCCTCAGTGCCCCCCCGCACTGGCTTCTGCGCTTGGCTTTGGCCCCACCGTGGGCCCATCAAGCCGCGCGCCAGAGGTCACGCTGGTGCAGGGTCATTCCTGCGTGCAGCCAACAGGAAAGAGGCCGGGACGCGGCCAGCGACGACAAGAAGGCTGCTGACAAGAAGGGGGGTCGGGGCAACCCGAAGGCCAAAGTGGGGGCCGGCGTGTCCATAGGAGGCACGGTGTACGCTTCGATGCCCAGGGTTGCGGACGTGGCAGTCGCTGAGCAGAGGGAGCTCTTCCGAAGGAAGATGCAGGAATGCGAAACGATCTACGATTTCCGCGTCGACAGCCAGCAGCCAGAGAAGGAAGGGAAGAGACTGACTTTGACGGAGCTCGTGGAGCACATGAGCTCCAGCAAGAAATTGTTCGATGAATCGCTCATGCGCGACGCAGTTAACATGGTCGCCGCCAACTTACTCAAGAGGCTTACGCCACTCCGCCGGTCCGCGCAACTTTCCGATATCGCAGGTATGGTTTGCTGGTTCCCGTCGCAGTACTTGCGTGTAGTTGTTGCTTGGGTGTGCGACGTCGTCCTCTGCCTCTCTTGCTGGGCCGCCTGGGGGCCTCTTTAGAGGCCTCTCGAGCGGCCTCCTGGGAGCCGTTTTGAGGCTCCTGCAGGAGTTGGAGGTTCCTTTGGGGCTTCGGGGGGGCCTCTCGCATACGAGCTCCGCTCCTTGGGGGCATCCTTTGGGGCCTCTTCTGGGCAGTCTTGGGGCCCTCTTGGGCTGTGCTGTCTCCGGATCCTCTGGGGGGCCTCTGGGGATGTCCTGGGCAAGGTCTGGGGATGGCCTCTCGGGCCGTCCCTGGGTTCCAGACCCGGAAAGGCGGGAGAGCGAAAATCATTCAAACACAAGAGAGACATGTATAAGTTGTGCTTCTCGGGGCCCTCTTGAGGGTCCTTTTGGGGTCCACTTGGGGCGTCTTCGGGGCCTCTTGGGCCTTCTTGAGGCCACCTCGGGTGTTTGTGAGGCCTTCCTGGCATGTTGGAGCCCTTCGTGAGCAATAGTGCAAGGCATCTTGGGCATGTCGGAGGTTGCGGAGGGTGCATTTCGAGGTTCCGAGGGCCTGCGAGGTGTGTTGATGAACTTCGCCCCGAAGGCCCCCGAGGGGCGTTAATGAAGTCAGCACACTCACACGCCCCTCCCCGCACCCCTCCCCTCCTCTAACGGGATGTTGGACCCCAGGAGAAGGGGAACGACGGAGGGGAGACAGCCAGTAATCCCAAACGTTTTTTCACCCCTGGCGGGCGGGGGTCGGCGGATTCAGGACACTGGCCAAGCGGGAACGGACGCCTTTGGATCTGATGGATCCAGACGATGAGCCCGCGATGGATCCTGCGTGGCCTCACCTGGAGCTAACGTACGAGTTCCTGCTGAAGCTTGTCACGTCAAAGGATGTGAGCGCAGACGCGGCTGCGAGTTGCATCGACTGGAAGTTTACTTCTGGACTGATCGGTCTGTTCGACTCGGATGACCCTCGCGAGCGGGAGAGTCTGAAGAACATCCTCAACAAGATCTATCCAGCTGCCTGGGGCAAGCCCCGCCGCCGTGCAAGCGCAGCATCTACACCCTATGCGATGCTTAAGAAAACTTAAGTTTTCGTCCAGAGTCTCGGTTATTCTTAACTTTTCGATGTAAATCCCAAGAATTTGATAGAAGTTCAGGGTTTTATTCAATTTCTGAGACTATGAATTTCTTAACCCATGATTTCTTAAGCATTTTGCAGGGTGTACATCCGTACAAGCGGTCTCACCGAGCTCTCCCGAAGATCCTCTGCATTAGCACGGTTCCACGCTTCGTGGAGCAAGCTCGGGGACCTCACGCTTGCTTGTTTCAGCTGCCCTGCCGTGGGCGGGAAAATACATGTATGGCTCCACGGGCCCCGCTCAGAACGCTCTTGGGCTGCCTTCGGCGCGATGGTCTCGGCAGCTCTCCCGAGAAGGCTGGGCGTAGAAGCATCCCGGGGTTATCTGGGACGCGGCGCCACCAGCTCTCAGTGAGCTGTGGCCCTGGCACTGTCCGGAGTTGCATTGCTCTCAGGGAATACATTTGGACCACACAGTCGGGACGCGAACCAAGAAACCAGATGCTATACGTCAGGGTACCTTGGATTTCTTCGCTGCGCGCGCTGCGCGGTGACTTCCGCGGGGGTTGAGAAGCTGCAACATGCAGGGTGCCCTGGGTTCCCCTCCAAGTTTCACCTCGCGCGCGGTCTTTCAGTGTTGGGTTTCCTGTGACGGTTTCCTGCGGCCGCGTCCGCATTGTATTAGGTCCCCATCGGGGTCCTTTCCCGACTTTTGGGGGGGGGGGCGCGTACTCCTTGAGGGTCATCGTCGGGGACATTTCTGCCGAGCTCGTCCGAGACGCCTTGGGCAGGACCATCTTGAGGCGGTCTGGGCCGGCTTTGGGGGGAGGGGGAGGCATCGGCCGTCCCGGAGGTGGTGTCTTAGTGCCCTCTTGCGGCCCCCTTGAGGCCCTACTGGACCAGCGTGGAGGCTTACTGGGGCTCGTGGGGTCGTCGTGGCGCTCTCTGGCGCCTCCCTGTGGCAATATTTGGGAAGGAAGCCTTGGACTGCAGAATACATTCGAAATAGACAGCGTGATCCAGTATGGTTGATCAGAGCCCCGAATCATCAGGGGTAACTCGGGTCAGGGGTAACTCGGGTTCGTTTTTCGGGAATTCAAACCCGAGTTACCCCGGACCCGAGTTACCCCGGATAACTCGGGGGTTCAGAGCCCCGAATCATCAGGGGTAACTCGGGTCAGGGCTAACTCGGGTTCCTTTTCCGGGAATCCAAACCCGAGTTACCCCGGACCCGAGTTACCCCGGATAACTCGGGCGTCCAAGTTGACCTCCGAGAGCTCGGTTGGAGGGGTTCTTGGGGGAAAGGTCGAGGACGGTTGGGGCTTGCCAGGACCCCTTAGCCACGTGCTGGGACCTGGCAGGCTTTACGAGGGGTGTCATGGGCTGGCCTGGGAACATCTTGCAGCTGTTCCGGGGCGGTCTTGGGGCCATGTTGGGGCCGCCCCGGGGCGGAGGGTAGTGGCAGGGAGCAAAACGCGGGAGTGCGGTCCTTCAAAGGGCGCGTCGACAAAGGTGCATCTCAGGAGAAGCTAAAACAACAGGCAACCAACAGGCATGATTGCACGCCTGGACGTGTCGATGGTGCGGTGGCGGGCTCCAAGTTCACAACTCTGCGCAAGCACATCCGTGGTGCTATCCAGAACACGTGCCTCAGAGCGATATACGAGGATGATATTATGAATGGGGTCGGAGAGTTGTTGGAGGTACTCAACCGCACCGTCATTAGCTCTTTCTCAACGCCCTTGAGAGAAGAAAACCACAAGCTTCTTCTTAGGGTGATCATGCCACTGCACAAGGTGTGTTCGTTGAATCTGTTCCACCCGCAGCTGCTGGACTGCGCCAAGGCATTCACGGCGAAGGAGCCGAAGACCGCCTTCGACGTCGTGAAAGGCCTCCTGTGCTTCTGGCCATGCTGCAGCCACCACAAGCAGATACTCTTCCTAGACGAGCTGGAAGAGATGCTGCTCGTGATACCGCCGGCCGAGCTCCAGAAGCTTCAGGCCAGCCTGGGGAGCAGAGGGGACGAGGAGGGGATGAAAGAGGGGAAGGAGGAGGAGGAAGAGGAGGAGGAGGAGGAGGAGGAGGAGGAGGACGGCGACGACGAGCAGCAGCAGGAGATGGATACTCCAGGAAGGACGTCTAGGGCTCCGTGAGCGCAATGGTGTATTATACCAGCTTCGAAGGAGGAAGAGGAGGAATCGTTGGATGACGAGGGGGTGGAGGAAGAATGGAGATGAGGAGGAGGAGGAGGAGGAGGAGGAGGAGGAGGAGGGCGGAGGAGGAGGAGTAGTAGAGTGGGACGAGTATAAGCAGGAGGCGGAGGAGGAGGGGGGATCAGATGAGACTCGTCGATGACACGGGTGACAGGGACTCACGCACCGATGCCTGGCTCAAGCTCAAGCCAGCCGCGCCCCGCGGCCCCAGCGGGGTTGCCACCCCCCCTCGCCTGGACCTCCGACTTGTCTGCGCTCTTCCCTGCTTGGCCGCCGCGTGCCGCGATGGAGCCGGCCTGGCCCCCCCGGGGCCTCTGCGAGCCGGCTGCCCGCCCTCCTGCCCGCACAGCCGCTTCCAGCGGCGGCGGCGGGAGGGGCGGGGCGGGCGGCGAGGCCGGGGTGCTGACCGTGGCGCGCCTGCGCCGGGAGCGGCGGCGCAGGAGCGCTTCCGCTCCGCTGCTCCGCGGCGCTCCTCCGCCCCTCTGCCCCGAGGAGCGCGGGCGCTCCTCCACGCCAGCGGGCGCGGGCGCGGGCGCAGCGGCGGCGCCGCCGCCAGGCCTCGTGGCCGGCTCCGACGGGGGGGTGCGGACGCCCAGCGACCCCCCGGGGGCACCTGCAATGGCGGCGACGGCGCGGATGAGTAGCAGGTGGGAGTCGAGGCACACGTGGGTGCGAAGGCGATGGAGGGAAGCGACGGGGCCGAGGAGGTGGTGCACGAGGCGAGGGGGAGGAGATCAGGGCGGGGTTGTCTGCCTCGTCTTCCTGCGACTCGGAGTGCGTGGACCCTTTGCTGGCTGGATGCTTCGGCATTTCTGACGGCACCCAGAATCGGCACACAGACGCCAGCCACCACTTCCCCAGCTGCTAGCGCGGCCGCAGTGTGCAGCATCGCGGGCGAGGTTGTGACCATCGCCATGGAGCAGATGATGAATGAGCTGACGGACACTTTCGGCCGCCTGCACAGGGCCATCGCTATGATAGATAGCAACGTTGACCACCATGAGCCTGGCACGGATAGTCTTCACGAGCCTGCGCATCATTCTAGTTACGCGGACCCTCCCCATGGGCGAGGGGTGGGGTCTCTTCCCGGACGTGGCCCAGATCTTCTCTATATCAGAGCAGTGCCGAGACATTCTCCAGGAGCACACTGAGGAGATGCGCGACGACGACGACGGCCACGCTGAGGAGGGAGGCACCGAGAGGGTGTAGCGAGGGAGGCGCCGGAGGCCGACGTGGACGTGGCGGTGGAGGGTCTGGGGACGACGGCCGCGGCGGACGACGACGACGACTACATCGGATCCCCGCTGCTGCTTGCTTGCGCGAGCAGCGCGGGCAGGGCCAAGGAGGCCTCGGCGACCCTGCTGGCTCCGCGGCCCCGCGGCAACACGGAGAGCTCCGTCGGGAGGCGCCATCCGACGGATCCCGAGCACGGCCGCGTGAGCACGCTGGCGACCACGGGCCCCCTCATCCCGGAGCTCGCCGACGCGTTACAGTGGGGGCCCATGCCAAGAAGCACCCTGCTCGCCTCCAGGGTGCTCCGGGTTCTTTGTGGGTTTCGACGTTTCTGCCCTGGGAAGCGGGACGTGCCCACACCAAAAAATCAAGGGACGTCCTGGGGTCTCGGAGTTGGGCTGTTTGTGGCAGGTTTCTTCCGGTCGAGCCCCTACTGTCGGGGGCGGACAAGAGGGGGGTGATGACTAGGGAGGGGTGGATATCATGGCGGGGGGCATGATATTTCCCGAGATCTCATGGCGACTCTTCTTGTTTTAATACGTCCCTGGCCCCCCCGCTGGGCCGCGCACATGCCGCCGGTCATCATTTGCACCCCCCCTCTTGGACACCCCCCTCTTGGCCGCTCCCGATACTGCACCTGGGTTGCAAGACCCCGTGGGCTCCCAGAACCCTGCTGGGCTCGCGCCGGGCTCGCGGCGCGGAGGGCCTCTCGACGGGAGGCGCCAGGCGGAGCTGAAGCGCGAGCTGCGGTGGAGGCCGTCCTCTCCGAGGAGGCGCGCTGCGTGCCTCTGCGCGCTGAGACGGTAAGAGGACGTCAGTCAGAGCCCCGAATCATCAGGGGTAACTCGGGTCAGGGATAACTCGGGTTCGTTTTTCGGGAATCCGAGCCCGAGTTACCCCGGACCCGAGTTACCCTGGATAACTCGGGCGCCCAGAGCCCCACATCATCACGGGTAACTCGGGTCAGGGATAACTCGGGCTCGTTTTTCGGGAATCCGAGCCCGAGTTACCCCGGACCCGAGTTACCCCGGATAACTCGGGCGCCCAAGTCAGCGAGATTCTGAGGCGCATGGAGGGGAAGGCCTCGATGGCCCATCGACGGGGCGTTCGGCAACGGTCGGCGGAAGCGACGCGGCAGGGCGTGGCCTGCGCGCAGACGGCCATGACCCTGAAGAGGCTGGCTGCCTTGAAGGCGGCATGAGGAGGTAATCGGCAGGATCGGCTTGCTGCTGATGGCCCCCATTCTTCTTCGTCGGCTCGCCGTCAGTGGCGGTGTGGCCCGGTGGCGCGGAGCCGCCCTCCTGGTCGAGGGTCGCCCGCGCCATCTTGCTGCTGCTCTGCGTCGACGGCGTCGCCGCTTACATCTTCATTTTGAGCTGTGGTTTCACGCCGTTCGCACTCGTCTCTTCATCGTCGGGATTATCCGTGCGAGTGCTGTGGGGGTTCTGTCATCGGGGACAACTTCGGGCACTTCTACTCGTTCGTCCCTCAGGCTCTTCTTCGACTTGCTGGATCGGGACTCGGTGCGAATCCATTTTGGGTCTGAGCCGCGATGTAGTTCGCGGGCTTCCTCACATACCGTGGTCGAGCGCTGGCGCGCGCACGGGAGCCCCATCTGTGTTATTCGTCGAGGTGCGGCTGCGCTGGATTATTGTGGTGGTCTGACGTTGACGCGAGATCGAGTTTGCCATCGGATTCCTCACCGATGGACGACAGAATTACATGTTTCCGGTCACCCAGTGATGAAATTAGGAGGGATGCCTGGACAGATGCATTGTTTAGCAGCATTATTGTTCAAGTTCCCAGTTGGATGGCATTGCAGTTTGATCAAGATGGGGCTATGGCACGGAGCTGTCCTCTCCTTCTCTTCCTCCTCCCCCCCAAAAAAGAAGTCGCGCACCGATGGCCCTCGCGGGCCACGCAACGATACCCAGGCCGCCCCTGGGCTCGATAAAGCATAGCGGCACTTGTGGCCCCTTCTCGCGCGTGTTGGTTTCAGCACCGTAGCCGATGGAAGGGGAGATGGACTGATGCCGCGTGCCCCAGCTGTCCACATCAGCATGCGCATAAACCGGTGAGCCCTGCCATTTCGCGCACACGCTGCCCGCACCGCCACGCGCTGATCCAAGCCAGGCAGATGTGAAGATCCATGCCACCGATATGGGTGATGATGCATGGCACGTTTCGCGCCGCCCCATGCTCTGCCCGCATCATTGCCAGCCTTCTCACACGCCCTCGTCCCAGCAGGGGTGGATGTCGTCGGGCCAGGCGCTACTTCGCCGCCCTCCCGCTCGCTTCTCGCACCTGGTGGGCCCGTATGCTCTGTGATGCGCATCACAGCTGCCACCGCCCACGTCCTCATGCACCCTGGTCCCAGCAAGGGCTGGGGTCGTCGGGCCAGGTGTTGATCCGCCGCCGCCCCACTCTTGGCCACCTGCCGCACCCACCCGTCCTGGCCAGCTCCTCCCGATCTGCTGAAGTTTGGGCGTTGCCTCACCCTCTCGCAGTAGCCTCCGCACCAGCCTCTCCATGAAATGAGCGCCTGCAGCTGATGATCTGCCACTGCCCGTCTTCCTGCACTGGCAGCGCGTGCTGCCACTGCCTGCCGTTTTGTACAAGCTGGCTCCGACGCTGTAGCTGAAGTGTCGGCTCGTACCATTTCTGACAGCACTGGGGTATATGTTGCGACTGTCCGTCTTGTCGCGCGCGCGCGCTGGACTCAGCATTGTAGCCGATGGTTTTGACTCGCGCTCTCCAATCCAGCTTGCTTGTGTTGGTGTTGTTGTTGCCAATGCCCGCATGCTTGCACGGTCCAGCACCGTAGCTGACGATGTTGGATCGTGCTGCGCCGTCCTTCCTGTAAACACTGGTGTCGCGGCTCCCGCTGCCTGCCTGCTCGGTTGCATTGGCGGTCGCGCTGTAGCTCCGGGTACCTTAGACTGCTTCTGCACTGTGGCAGCGGCACTGCATCAGCGGTCGCCACTGCTCGCCAGGGGGCGGAGGAGGAGGAGTCAGAGCAGGAGGGGAGAGAAGGGAGACGAGGACGGAGGGGAATTAGTGTCTTGGCGGGTGCGCACGCGCCTGGTCTCAGCATTGTAGCTGACGACGTGGGGCGCCACGCTTCTTGATGCCAGCTCTCGCGCGCAATGCCATTTCGAAGTTAGCACGAGAAGCGCCTTTACCCGTCTCGTGCAGTGGGGGGCCACTCGGACGCGAAATGGCTGGAGGTTTGGGGGGGAGGAGTCGGGGGGAA